TGTTAAGGCCGAATTAAAGCACGTGTGGCAGTATGAAGTAGGGAGGAAATACAGATGATGATATGAAACGAATAATGCCAAACAAAAGTAGTGATCAACTGCTTCCTTTATACCCTGATTAATACGTCAAAACGTGTTGTTACAGATAATGCCATGAATATCAAGGGCATGTTACATGCCAAAAGTTTACACAAGGGAAAGGTTTACACAGGGCCTAAAAGTAATGGTTTGTAGATCCCAATGGTGCCCTGCCGCACGCCTGTGCCATTTCTCCTTGGTAGGGAATCCTTTGAGAGGAGGAGTTGATGGTCGTCTGTAAGAAAGAGGGACCTAGAGAGGGCCCCCCGTAGGACCGTAGCGTGGGTAGGTTTTTTAACGAACCTGAAGTGGGAGAAAACATTTAAGGTTCAAATAGGGTCAAGCCGTACTATGGACCTTTTCAGCAGTGTGCCTCCGGCATTGTCCAAGGTATTTTAAGTGTGTAGTTATGTACGCGCGGTACGTATGCCGCAACCTTATGGGGCGGTCGGCGGAGCTAAACTGTTATTCAAGCAACGAATCCACTGAGCTTTCGGATTGTGATGCGGGTCAGACTCGCTTAGCCATGTCATGGGTCTTGATGGCCGATAAGCTACTCGGCTTGATGATTCCACCCTGTACCTCGGCTCCTAGGGCCGCGGTGTGCTCCTCAATATGGAGGGAGCACTCCATATTTCCATTTACTGTGATGACGCCACACGGTCCAGGCATCTTGAGCTTCAGATATACATAATGCAGGACTACATTAAAGCGAACGAAAGCAGTTTGTCCAAGCAGTGCATGATAACCATTGCAAAAAGGGACGATGTTGAAGATCAATTCTTCGCTTCGGAAGTTGTCCAAAGAGCCGAATACTACTTCCAGTGTTAAGGAGCCCATGCAGCGGGCCTCCACGCCGAGTATCACTCCTTTAAAGGTAGTGTTACTAGGTTTAATTCTTGACGGGTCGATACCCATTTTACGGACAGTGTCTTGATAGATCAAGTTGAGGCTGCTGCCACCGTCCATAAGGACTCTAGTGAGATGGTATCCGTCGATTATAGGATCGATTACCATGTCCGTCGAACCTCCGTGACGGATACTGGTTGGGTGGTCCCTGCGATCAAAGGTGATCGGACAAGCTGACCCATTGGGTTGAATTTTGGGGCGACAAGCTCTACGGCGTAAACGTCCCTTAATGCGCAAGCGCACTCCCTCTTGGGGATGTCGGTGGCATAGATCATGTTCACCATTTTCACCTTGGGGGGAAACTGCCCTCCAATGTTCGGCTTACGGGGCTCATCATTGTCCTTGCTTGGATGTCCTTTCCCCTTATGTTCGGTATTTAGTTTACCAGCCTGCTTGAAAACCCATCAATTTCTATTGGTGTGGTTGGCAGGCTTGTTAGGGGTGCCATGAATCTGGCAAGGTCTTTCTAGTATTTTGTCCAAGTTGGATGGACCGTCCCTATTGCCTTTGAACAGCTTCTTCCGTTGACCGGGTTTGGAACCTCTGAATCCGACATTTACTGCCATATCCTCTGTTTCGTTGTTATTGTTCCAACGCTTGTTTTTGTTGTGTTGTGGTCTACCATTGCCATCTCTAGCCTCAGAAGTGCCGGGGTCGCTGGAACTGTTGCTTCTGCGAGCCAACCAGCTATCTTCGCTTACACAGAAGCGGGTCATGAGTGCAGTAAGAGCTGCCATGATCTTCGGTTTTTCCTACCCGAGGTGTGGGCAAGCCATTCGTCATGGAGGCTGTGTTTAAAGGCCGTTAAGGCTTCGGCGTCTGGACAGTCCATGATTTGGTTCTTTTTAATAGGAAGTGATTCCAAAGTTTGCGAGCTGACTCTCCGGGTTGCTGGACTATGTGACTTAGGTCATCAACATCCGATGGCCGGACATAAGTGCCCTGAAAGTTGGCTCAGAAAGCATCTTCTAAATCTTCCCAACTCCCAATGGAGTTCTCTGGGAGGCTATTCAACCAGTGCCGTGCTGGTCCCTTCAGCTTTAGAGGGAGGTATTTAATGGCGTGGAGGTCATCTCCGCGAGCCATGTGAATGTGGAGAAGAAAATCTTCAATCCATATGGCAGGATCCGTCGTTCCATCGTATTGCTCGATGTTCACGGGTTTAAACCCTTCCGAAAATTGGTGCTGCATTACCTCATCGGTAAAGCACATAGGGTGTGCGGCACCTCTATATTGGGCGACATCACGACGGAGTTCGGATGACATCTGTATTCGGTGCTGACCCCGAACTTGATTATGCTCATCATGCCAGGCTTGATGATCGTCATCTCATGCCGGGGCACGTCCTCTGGATCCATAGATCAATCTAGTCTGGCCGGCTTTATTGGCCAGGTCTTGACATAAGTCGTATGTGTAGCCCGGAGCCGCTATCTCCTTGCCTCTACGGCGAGGGGACGCGGGCTGATGTTCGGCGTGATGAGCCGTTTTGTCCCGTCCACGTGGTGGTCGGTCTGGTTGATCAGAATAATTGTATTTTGACGGTATTGGCTCAAAGGCTTCATCATCAAATTGTGGCAGCAGCCTGCATTTGGGGTAACTCTTTACTGGTCGCTCGAAGTCGTATTCTTTGGCAGCTAGGACTGCCGCTGTTTCTTTTTCAGGCTCCGCGCGATGGCGATGAGCTGTCGCTTGAAGCATTCTTGCTCGAGGGGTTCCTCTAGGACGATAAAATCTTTGTCACCAAGGCTAACATCCTCTTTGGAGACAGGTAAGTAGTTACTATCTTCTGAATCTTCGTGATCAGCGTGTTCGGGGCTGTATTGACCCTCTTCCCTTTCATCCTGCTTGGACGCAGGTTTGACGGGGTGGTCGGGGTCCTCAGCGTTGTCCGGAGTGCCATTATCTCCGGTGTCGGTATTACTTTCCCTTACCCGACGCGATCGTGAGCGGCGTCGCTGACGCTGACCCTTTGGTGGTTCATTGATGGGCTTGTCCTTGTCTGGATCTTGAGTGCCATCGTTGTCCTTCTTCTCAGGTGTATCCACCATGTATACGTCATAGGTAGAAGTGGCCGTACGACGCCCGGTGACAGGCGGGTTTTGGCCTGGTTCGGCCTCGACATCATCGTCCATGCCATTGACGTCTTCGGGGGCGTAGTCTAGCATGTCAGTTAAATCCTCGATAGTGGCTATTAAATGGGTGGTGGGTGCGATGTAAAATTCCCTGCTCTCAGCCCCCAGCCTGAACTGGGTGTAGTTCGGAGGTGATACTTCCTTGATGGCAAGAGATTGTGTTAAGTCCAGCGTTTCGTTTAAGAGAGAAAGCTGGATAGGAGTTTGTGGATCTACGGAGCCAGGCTCGGTGATAACCACTTGATTGAGCTCAATGGACGCAGACCTCATTAGTTCCGAGTTGACGTCCAGAGGCGTGTCCGGCCTCCCGGTGATGGGGAGAGTCCCGTCTGACTTTGTGTTCGCAGACGACGTGGTCGCATCTGGGTTTCCGGTTGGAAGCTCCGTGACAGGAGAGAGTCCGACGGGGTTCATCCTCCCATCTTTGGCCGATGTTGTCCACCCCGGATCTAAGTTCGAGGCAGGTACAAGTGTCGACCCCTGGACGGGATCTGATAGTGGATCTGAAGGGCAAACCCCTCGAAGATGAGATCTCCTCGGATATCGGCAATGTAGCTCAAACCTCCAAACCTGATCTGGTGACCAGGGGCATAGCTATCGACCTGCTCAAGGTGGACGGTCGAGTTGGCACGTAGCGCGAAGCCGCCGAACACAAAGAGTTGACTAGGGAGAAAGGTCTCACCGGAAATAGCGTCGTTGTTGATGACGAGGTGAGCCATCGATTCTTCTGTCGACAACACAGCGAAGCTCTCAATGAAAGCACCAATGTCGGTGTCAAAACCGGCAGATCTCGGGTAGGGGGGCCCAAGCCGTGTGTCTAAGGATCACTGGAGGGACAATGGGACACAATGTTTACCCAGGTTCGGGCCCTCTTAAAGGAGGTAAAACCCTACGCCCTGCTTGATTGTATTCGATGAGTATAGGGGTTACAAGAGTTGATCTACCTCGAGATCGTGATGGCTAAACCCTAGTTGTCTAACCTATGGTTATTCTGATAGCCTCTACGGACTAAACCCTCCGGTTTATATATACACCGGAGGAGCCCAGGGTTGTACAGAGCCGGTTTACAAGGAAAGGAATAGAATATCCGGACACCAATCTTGCCGTCCACGCATATAGGAGTCCTACCCGGACACGGGGGATGGTCTTCTGCTTTATCTTCACGGCCATCAGTCTGGCCCATATCGAATAGACCGGACCCCTGAGGACCCCCTAATCCAGGACCCCCTCAGCGGGAGGGCTTCGTTTTAAGATGTTTCTTTGAGTTTTGTTAGGATTTGTCTTAGGAAGATGAGACGATGGCGACTCCCCAAAGATGGAATAAGGTTCTCCCCGCCTAGCCTCCATCTCGGTGGTGCATCTGGGTCAGTGGACGTATGGAGGTATATCTCCGACGGATCTGTCTTTGGTGGATTTGCTCGGATCTGGTTGTAATTCGTCTACGTTCGTGTGTTTTCAGGTTGCGTTCTTTTGATCTATGCTACTCTTCAACGGCGGTTGCTTTTCTAGTGCATTGGTACTGTGAGGTCTTAGCACGACGACTTCCCCTACTATAACAAGTTTTGCCGGCTCCGACGAGGGAGGGGCGATAACGACAGCACACTTTCGGCTCGCTTCAGTGCTTGTAGTTATCGCTAGGTGGTTTACAGATCTAGATGTAATTTTTATTATTTCTGATGTTCGTTATATTGTCATGATTGAAGACAAATAGATCGGATGTTTTCTTGAAAAAAATGACGTGCAAATCACGTACAACTGATATACAGTTTTTGAACAACGACTTGTATACATTGTCGCACGAAGAAATCAAAGCATCCCTCTTTAGAATTATAACCACTTTTGGATGAAGGCCACATTTCCTTCCCCGAAAGGAATGTGCTCTTAGCATAACCGCAAGGCATCGATCACCTCCTTGCTCTGCATGGCTTGGTAGTAGTACACCGTGGCCGCCGTCAAAGAGAGGAGCTGCAGCGCACAAGACAGAAAAGCATGCACGGCCAACAAGCAGAAGCACACCGTCATGCTCGTCTTCGCATACACAAGAGCAATCCGGTACAACGGAGCCACGACGGTCGGCACGAGGTGCGCCACGAGCACCAGCAGGAGGCCCTCCTTTCTCCTCACCAGCGTCACGAGACGCCACGCCTGCCGGAGCGCCCCCACGCCGCGGCACCTCCTGTCGACCACCGACGCCGCGACGGCCACCAACGCCACGGCGGTAAAGTGGAGGGAGGTGAGGAGCGCGATGAGGTAGACGAGACCCTGGACGGAGAGCACCCCCGAGAGCCCGGCCATCAGGGCGGGAGCAGGAATAATCAGCGCGGCCAGGACCGCCGATGCGAAGTCAAGCGCGTCGACGACGGCGATGGTGATGGAAGGGCCCTTCAGGCTGATCCTCCCCTTGACCAGCTCGCGCAGGAGCTCTGCCAGCGAGTAGCGGTCGCCGGAGTAGGTCGTGGAGGCCGCGAAGAGGAAGAGGATCTTCTTGACGAAGCCGACCGCCAGGGCGACGATCACCTCGGAGAAGGCGATGAGGATGAGCCTCATGCCGTCTTGCTTTGGCCCCTCCATCTCCATGAGCTTGGCGTGTTCGGCGCTCGAGAAGTCGGTGTTGTTGACCTCGGTGGCATGGCTGGCCACGACGTCGGCGAGAGGCTGGACGAACACGAAATTGACTATGTGGTCAAGGAAGGCGGCGGCGGCAAAGAGGAGGAGCAAGGGCGTGAAGAGCTTGGGGTTTAACGTGGGGAGGGTCAGCGCTTCCTTTAGGAAAGTAAAGCATGATGTGGTTTTGGCTGCCATGGTTCTTTTTTGGTAAGGTGCTTTGAAGAACTGAAGGTTGAGGATGATCTGCCTAATGCTGTGGAGGAGGAGGAGATTTGTACGTTGGGGGAGGGGATGGCTGAGATATGCTCACCGGTCAACTGAGGAAGAGTTGAAAAAGGAACGGCACGTTGTTGTCGCTAAGGGACGACTTGGAAAAACCAAAAGAATCAAAGTACGACCCGCCCGCCGGTGGAGGAAATTGCACAAACCACTTGTACAGCTTACCAATCATTGGTGTTTGTTCCCTTAAAAAAAATATTGGTGTTTGTTATATACAGTCAATACAGAACACTAATTGTTAGTCTTTTTTTAGGGATAACTGTTAGGGCATGTACAATGATGCTATCTTAGAAGTGCCATGTAGGATAGATGATGAGGTGGAGGAGAGAGAACTCATAAGAAAAGGCTTGTTTTCTCTTATTTAAGAGAAGACAAGAGATGATCTCTTAGCACAATATATCTCACCATATTTTTAGGAATAACTCGTTAATGAAGATAAGGCTAAAAGATGATCCATTGTAGACAATTTTTTTTGCCATCTCTAAATCACATGCAAGACTTAAGATAAGACTATCTTATCAACCATTGTACATGCCCTTAGTCTTTTTTGGGGGATCAACACTAACTGTTAGTCTTTTTTTGGGGGGGATCAACACTAACTGTTAGTCTAACTAGTCGCAGCCAGGTCCAGTGAAAATCTCTACTTCTAATGGACGACTTGGTGAATAGACTGTGCGGGTTTTTTTCGCTGGTTTTTTTCGTCATCCTCCCACCTCCGTTTTATTTTCGTCATCCTCCCACCACTTTCGTCTGGTTTTTTTCGTCCCCCCTCCCACCACCCCATCGGTTTATTTTTTTCACTATTTTCTTCTAAACAAACACTTTCCTACCGTACAAAAAGACACAAATCTAACTTTACTAAATTACCCAAATCAAACGATCCATCTCATCAATGCAATTTGCTTTAGGAAACATATAATAGATGTGAAGGAAACAAATAACAGACTATCCAAATCAACCGATCCATCCCATCAATGCAATTTGATTTAGGAAACATATAATAAATTTTAAGGAAACAAATAACAGACTTTAAAGAAAAATCCAATTAACTAATCTCTACTCTTAAAGGCCCCTCGATTGATTTTTGCCCCTCGCCGCCCCAGTCCTATTCCACCGCCGCCCCAGTCCTACTCTCCCTCCCCTCCTCATAGCAGCAGCGACGGGGGAGTGCCACATGAAGCAGCAATGGGACGACGGCGGCGGCAAGCAGAAGGTGGCCGTATAAGTCTATCCCACAGGGTCGTTCATCTCTCACCCTTTTCTTTCTCCAGATCGAAATCGAGATATGGGGCGGTTGACCGGGGGCGACGCTGATGGGGTGGCGGATGTGTGTGCCTGCATCGTTGGAGCGCGAAGAGTGGCGCGGACACCATGGTGGTGAATACTGACCGCGTCGTGAGTCGTGACCAAGAGCTGGGGAGAGGCTGTGGGTGTCGTTGGAAATGCGGTCGGCGGCCTCCTCAGGGTGGACACGGTCCAGGTGCCCTGACCGAGCCGCGACCGGTCTGGACAGGACCGGACTAAAGTTTCCTGACGAAGAGCCAATTCATCTATGGTAGCGTCTCTACATACATCAATCTCGTCCTGGGGAACTCCGCCGCCCGCCGGCACCGTCACTGTCAGTACATACTAGGTGCGTACATCGTCGCTTCCAATTTCAGTTTACGGATGAGCTTTTGCTGCAATCAAGGTGACTATAATACTAACTGTGTGTGCATCAATTGATTGCAAATTCATACATTGTTTGTGGGGGACAACCATGATGAAATCGACTTGAGTTTCTGGGGAGCAAGATGCGGCACACCGACGTGTTTGTCTGCACCCGAAGTGCCCTTCGAGCGAACACACGTGAACGAGAGATTGCTCGAGGAAGAAGGAAGACACAGGTATGTTTCGCTGCATAAACTTGAGAGCTTTGTTGTTCTATTTCTCTTCTATGTATTCAGACTTGCAGAATGGAAACAGGGCTTCACGCAGCTGGCTTTTGCCGTCATGATCCACGAGCATACCGACGAGGCATGAGAGTCGCTTAGGCTGTTATACCCACAAGCTAACAGAAAGAAAGCGTCCGAGCCTAACCTGACGAAAAATCGAAGTTCTAACTGAGATAACTGGAAACGTGACAGGGGCCTGAGATTTTATTCAACAGTGTTTGCCAACATCGCCGGCAAGAAGGAGGTGTAGTTCGTGCCCAGCGTGCGTACATGCACGGGCTGCACCGCTTCATCGCGTCAGCAAGGCCGGGGACGTGACGACTGCGACAAATTTGATGGCGGCAGATGGCGACCACGGTCGTGGAAGAGAGGATGTGTGCATCGTGTAGGCGGCGTCCGGCCTAATTCCTGAGGTTTAGGTGGGCTAGCTTGAAAAGTTCAGAGAAGATCCAATGTACATGTGGCTGTGTGTTGCCAACGTACAATCTTGTAGCTTAATTTATGCTGATTATGCATGGCAAAATTTTCTTCAAGAAGATGCAAAATAATTTTAGATAGCCTGTGTGCTAACATACATGCTCTAGATCTGTTTATAATAAGTTTGTATTACCAATTCCCGTGGCTTCCTTTCGTTCACTTTGAGTACAAAATTCAGAGTTCGTGCTTCAGTCATCCATACCTCAAATCTAATTGTGCTTACTAACTTCACATATATCTGGTGCATGTATATATCTGCAGATACGGGCTATAAATCACATTGTTTAGGCAATCTCAAATTGCAGAGGTTAGCAATTGGACTACTCTCATATCTCTTTCCTATTGTGATTTTGTTTTGCAGGTTGTAGTGAATATTGGTGCCTTGATATTAATGTTTAAAATTGATAGTACTAATTTGAGAAGATGGGTGCATAACAATATGATTTGGTTAAACAAGATATATTGGTCTATCAATCAATACAATAATGGCTGAAATTATCTTTGTGGTATGAGACTACAATAGTACTTCCTCTGCAAAGTAATATAAGATCTTTTAGATCACTATTTTAGTGATCTAAAAGATCTTATATTAGTTTACGGAGGGATCCGTATTTTTATTCTGCAGATTGAGCCAAACTTAGTGCCATATTACCAAGTTGTGCAACGAATCTCGTGTCTCCCAGTAGCAATTCAATCAAAATTAACTATAGGTTATCCTTTCTATGTAATGATAATAGTTTCCCATTGCATGAGCAAAACATAATGATGCCGCCGGTATGTCGGCATGTCGTTCATTTTGTATGACAAATAGAGCTGATGTACCCACTTTCAACATTTCATTATCTTGGATATATAGAACAGAGGTGAAGCTCAGGAGTTGACGAGATCCAACACATAATGTGGAAATAGTGCTATTCAATTTAACACCGGAAAAAAAGTGTTGCATAGAGACCTCACCTAGAGGGCCAACCGAAAATATTAGAATTACAAAAGGACGGTGGCATTTACAATTGTGTGGAGAGTGTGGTTAAGCAGGAAAGTGAATCTCCATCAGTCGCTATATAGATGGAAGTCAAATACATGGTCAACTGTGATTTCCGAATTAGAATAGTTTTCACATGATGAATTTTTCTTTTGTTACTCCATGCAAAACACGGGCATATTTGTGGCTACATTATATATTTCCCTTCGCAACAAGTTCTTACATGTTTCTCTTTGACAAAGTTCTACAGCAAGCAAGCATCTATAAGATTGATGACGATTATTGATATTTTGTCACATTGCTTAGAAGAATGATATTCTAATAAATATCTTTTTTATATTCTGGATGTCTCTATTATCTCCACTATTCCCTACCATTGAAGGAAGTCTATACATCGTGTTCGTTTTGCTTCGCTTCGTAACACCAATGATCGATCAAAGAAAAAAAATCACCAACTCGCTCGATCCCACCCGCATGCAAAGAGAGAGTTAAAAAAATCAATGGTGGAAGCCCACGCATGCATGCCGACTCCACCCTCGATTCCTCAAGCAACCTCTCTCCAATCAACACCTTCCAATCTTCCATCCCCACACCGCCGCCCCACTCACGCCGCCGCCCCGTATGAGTCCCCTTCTCACACACACGCCGCCACCAGTCATGCCTCGACTGCCATTGGCCCTCCCCCGTTTTCGCCTCTGTGGCTAGCTCCGCCCTCCATCACTGTTTGGTTGGCTGCGCCCGCCACACAGTTGTAGAGCGGGTCACGGGAGAGGCGGACGGCTGGCTACGGGTTGGATGGGAAAGTGATGACGGCGATGGAGACCATGCTAACAGGTAGGGCATGGTCAATGGTGGCCTTCACATTTTTTCCGAGTGAGTGAGGTATCGGCCATCGCACAACCATTGAAATCGAAGCCCGGGCCGAAGTTGGCCGGCATAAAACCTGACGGACCCGAAGGCTGATGACGGTTCTGCCACCACCGCACTGCCTCTGAACTTGATGGAGATTCGGAAGGAGAGGGTGGGCAGTGTGGAGACCCCGACGCCTCCCGTCGCGACCACGATCACGACCATGGCATCGATAAGAAAGATACTAACTTTATAAATATTCGCTAGCTTCAAAAGCATTGACATCTTTTCTTATATGAATCTCCTGTCTCCCAGTAGGAATTCAATCAAAATTAACTATAAGTTATCCTTAACATACTGACGCCGCCGGCATGTCGGTACGTCATTCATTTTCTATGACAAACAGAGTTGATGTACCCAGTTTCAACATTTCATTCTCTTTGGATGTATATATAGAACATCGGTGAAGCTCGGGAGATGACGAGATCCAGTGCATAATATGGAAATATTGCTATTCAATCTAACACGGAAAAGAAAGTGTTGCACAGGGACCTCGCCCAGAGGGCCAACCGAAAACATTAGAATTACAAATGGACTGTAACATTACAATTTTACAATTGCGTGGAGAGTGTGGTTACGGAGACATGATGACTGCCAAGAAGAAAAGTGAATCT